TCGATTCAAAACTGGAGCGACCAGTAATTTTAATCAGTTACTCTCCCACACGCCTTGTTTGAAAGCTAGAGAAACCTGTTACTCTTAGTTTCACCTTTGGCAGACGATAAATATGATTTTTTGTCCATTCAACTATCCATTGAGCATCAGTTTATTAATATATTATATTTTGAGTACTGTTTTTGCAAGTTCCCGCCATGCCTTGCGAATATGACTGAAGAAGAAGTCAAGTTTATATTCTCAGCTGACAGCTGAGAATATAAATATCTGCTATTGCAAACTATAGCAGATACACTTGACGCGGCTGGAGTATCACCAATACGTCGCGTATTCTTTTCGATTTCATTAAAATTCAGAATAACGTTACTATTCGAATTGAAAATGTATGGGGTCTTTCAACAGGGACCCTCGTTACTAGAACAAATTAACTTCAACGTACCTCAAGCTACTACACGTAGACAGATCACTTTCTACGTTTTGTGCAAGAATTCGACAGGTATGTGAAGATATTAGCCCTCAAGAACTAAGGAACGTAATCAGAAACATTCGTAAGCGCTACGACACATGTATCGAAATACGTGGTGGATTAGTAGAGGCTCCTAGAATATGAGTTAGGATTAATTGTTGCACTGAATCGAAACATTTCAATAATTAGTTATTAGTTGAGTTTATTAAAATTTTTTGCTTCATTGTAAGTTGAATTGTGTTAATGTAATTCCGTTATTTTCATTAAAGATATTTACGCTATTTGTTTTTTTTTCATCTGGCGGCACTTTATTGTTGAAATCATAAAAAAATGATATATTGTGACTGTGAGTTTTCGAATTTTTGAGTTGTCATAACTTTGTTAATAATGAATATTTTTCCATGAAATTCTGGTCACACCTATTTAGAGGCACTCTGAATCCAGTGGCGTAGTGATTTTTTCAATAAAACATCGCTAATAAAAAATCCCGATTTTCGACTAAGAAAAAATATCGTAGTATGCCCTGAAACTTTAATAAACAGTTCAAATTTTGTCTCAAGGTAGACCTTTCAGTACTTGACAATTAAAAAAAAATTATTAAAATCGATTCACAACTTCAAATTTTTATGGGGTTGTTTCCATTAAAAATGGGTCACACTGTATATTTAGTTTAAGTAGCTTTTATTTATATTGCATTATTATTATATATTGTCCTGCAAATGGATTCTTCTGTTCTGCAATACATTTTGTTTTTCTTCTTTCTTTTTCTTTCACTTCACGAATCATACATCTTTAATTATAATAAAATATTCACTTGCACTTTGTAATATCATCACTGTATCTTCTCAGCTATCTACACGTCATGTCATCAACTTCTACCTACTAGGGATACATTCACTAAGTAGCTATCACATTTGACCTTTCGACCTTCGCAGACTTCCTGAATTATATTAACTCTTCTCAACATGAGTATAATAATTCACACCTACGCTTTGATACCTGCAAGACGCCACAATTCAACATTCCCGCTGCAAACTCGTACCTCATTTCTACCTTTTTAGTCTTCCTCGGTCCACGACACTTCCTGTTTCTCGGCAGAATTTATTTTCATGTGTTCCATTTTCTCCAATGTATAGCTTTCCGGTTGGTATCACTGTCTCCGCTATCATTTGTCAAACAAGTTATGTTCCGTGACTTAGTACTTGAGATTATAGAACACTTCTCCTCAAGCTAATGCGTTTACGACTGTTGGATTACAAAACTCTTTGTTGATCCTTCAACAAAGTAAAACATTCTTAAAACATCCATGAAGAATGTTGAGATAACTCTGATGAAGTAGTGACGCCCAAGGCTTTAGTAAGTTTGTTCACTGGCTGAATCCAGTGAACAAACTCCAAAAAGATAAATGTCTCCGAACCGGATATAATAATGTCAAGTCAGACAATTCCGCTTTCTGCTTCGATAAGTTTGTTGGGGGTTAAAATGGACACCAATATGTCTTGGCACAATCACAAGAATTGCTTGCTTATGTGACATACTTTTGAGAAATATGAATTTTTTTCATCCACGTTACCAATTTCTGGTGAGTTACACGTATATTTGTTTTTATTCTTGCTTTTCGTAAGAAACAATCACAGAATTGACGCTTTTTTCAATAGTGACGCAAAAATTCCACCAAATATTAAACTGGCAGAATTATGAGAGAACCTTTTGAAGACAATAAAATTTTTAATGAAAACACTAGTAAACAAAATGTTAATCAGAAATCGAACCAATTGTCAGGCCTGAGACGCAGTAAATTTATGTCTCTTCCATTCAGTTAGAATTTTTCGAGGCACCTTGTATACGATTCGTAGTTAGCATACCACATTTCCTCAAATGAGAATTTAATTGCCGGGACTTTATTTGCCACACACCTATTCGGAGCAGTAAAGAATGTGCCCTCAATTCGAACAACATCGTTCGTTCCACAGTGTCCGTATACAGGGTGGTTCTAAAGATAAAATCCGGTCATTGCAAGAGAAATTGCCACTGTAACTCTTGCTAAAGCATGGTCCAAATTCATTATATGACAATGTTACTGCATATACATATCAGGAGAGTGCTACATCAACGGTTTTGACACTTCTACATATACTTTCATGAGCACTACTTAACTTTCTAAAGCCGCTTGATTCCTTCAAGAGAGATATGAGCCAGAGGATACCCGACAAACTACAGTGGTCACGTTCAACAAGTCATATTGGACTGGAACGTTCGTAGGCTAACATGGAGAAAACATTTTCATTTTATATAATTTGATCCTGTTACTCATTATAGTTGCCATTAAAAAAACGCCGTACATACTCAAAGTAATTTTGAAGTAACTGCTAATTTCATGTTTGTGGTAAAGATATTTAACTTATAACTTGGGAGCGAGCTTCTCAGTAAAATTAACACATTAGGTATAGTTCAAGTAAACGATATAGTGCAACCTTTTACAGTAAAAAATTATCAAATCATCATACCCATTGAAAAATGACATTTATGTGACGTACGTATTGACGTACGTCGATTTGTATTATTTTTGCTGAGAAGTTCGCTGCCTAGTTATGAGTTAAATATCTTTACCACACTCGTTATTACTATTAGTACTTGTCCAAAGACGCCACATTTTAAACAGATAACAAAAATTTCAAGTAATCATAACTGCACCAATATCGAATTTCAACACTCAAATCGTGATCAGTTCCTGAACTGAACATTGACAATACGACGGCTCGCATTCTATTCGTCACCGTAACATGACTTCAACATTTAATTTCATGACTCTTCAGCCAATCATAAAACTCGGTTAGTAAAAATCATCCAATACGAACCGCCAATTCTTCAGTCCACGTGGACTAGTCGGCAGCGGCTTTATCTCTTTATATCGGTTTGTTTGGCCTTTGAGGGCGCCGATAGCTTTAAGTATTCACAATAAAGATAACTTCGACTATATCTACTTATAACGAATGTTCATAGGAAATGATTCTTAATTGAAATATGAAATTAGTATATCTAAGAAATAAGAAAATGCTTCGAGTTGAACAATTGAATTGAATTAGAAGGTACTTGATGAAAATCCATATCAAAACTTACTATTATATCATATCATTAAATGTTAGTCCAGTTTGACCTATAAAAACATCGCACGACAATTTATATATTTCTGATCATTCCGACATCGAACTTTCGGAACTTGTATTGCGGTTTCATAAACCTTTCATATTGAAAATCACTGTATACTAAATTAGTAAGTTTTCAAAGAGAACCACGGAAGGGTAAATGAACGCTTAAAGTTCTTGGTATATTGAAAGATAAAACAAATGGTGGAGCTGTTGTTATTTTCATCGAACGCAATCTTGAAAAACAAGTTCACTTTTCAACGTAGAATTTCGAAATATTTTGAAGAGATATAGGAAATGATTTTCATTTTGTTGGTGGAAATATCACTGAACAGTGTTTTTCCAAAATATATAATTTTCCAAACATTTTCTATTGCTTCAAATCACTCTGAGCTTCAAAATAAATTCCAAAGCAACGTCTTAACATTCCGGCTTTTCAATTATTATTGTATTTATGGGATGAACGTCTTCAAAAAATATTAGGAAATAGTGTTACAGCTCATCTTATATTCAAATACATGCGGTAGGAGGAATTTCTGAAATTTTTCAGTAATTATCATTGAATATCAATGACTTTAATAGAGCAATAAAAGCTGGTATATAGCGAGGTCCCCTTAAAAAGAAATGGAAATGTACTATGCATTCCCGGAAAATTGTTTGAAAAAATTATACACCGAATTAGGTCATACACAAAATAAGATAAAAGAACTAACTCAGATGTAGGTAACTTTTCAACGATTTGCCATTTTCATATGTGTGTCATTTTAAAGGTGACATCTGTTTAAAAATCTTAAATATTTAAATCGAATATTGCAAAACGCCTGCAGTAAATTTTTTTAGGAGAATTTCAAAGCAAATTAGTTATTTTGTTTTATTAATCAAATAAACAAATAGTACTTTATTCAAGTCTCTTCATTTGTAGAGCAAATTCTGTATTCGAGTATTCATGTTGTACATAATAATAAAAACACGACAAATGTTGAATTTTTCACATTTACATTAAAAAACTATATCATTTTCGTGGTAGCCGTATAAATGATGAAAAAAATTTAAGTGCAATGCATCACATTTTGTAGAAATTGTTTCTTCAGCTTTCTATAATGAAAAGCGAACACGGTTGATACTCTTGAAATTCTTGTTTATTTTGTACTTGAATAGACTTAATGTAGCAAATAGTATGATTATTCATTTATATTTTTCTTTTCGGAATATATTTTGACAAAAATTTGACACAACAAAAAATGTTTTCCCATCGCAAAGCACATAACCTCAATACCGACCCCGTCCTCGACTAGCGACTCACCCTGTACACAAGCGACCCCAACCACGAATCTCGTACGCATGCACGACTCACCGTCGATCAAGAAAAAACAGAGAGACACACATACCTCTTCCTCGCCATTCTCGTGGTGTTGTTCCTGGGGCTGTTCCTCCATGAGCACGAAATCCACATCGTTATTGTTGTTTTTGGTGGCGACGACGTCCGGGGACCTTCTGACGACATCGCCGATCAGGATTCTGCTCCTCTTCCTCCTCTGAGAATTGAGCAGGTCGCTAGCGAGGGAGTCCGGCGAATCGGGATTGCTGTCCATCGTCGGTCACTCAAAGGCACATTTTATGGCAAGAACGGAGCTGAGATCTAGAAGGCTTGAGGCGAACTGACGTCTCGGTTTGCCGCGAGCGAGAGTGACCATTTCGGGCGAGGGGGGACAGGTGTGGCGGGCGGGCGGGCCGGCTATCTGCCCGTTAGGTTACCTGTTCGTTTCTCGGCTTCGGTTACATAATCTTTCTTCTCTTGTTCTGCTTTGATTGAATATAAATATATGGTGCGGTAATGGGTACTGATGATGGGGAACACGGGCTTTTTTTTCGGGCGTAATTGGGTTCTCGAGGTTTTGTGGTACGCGTCGATTTCGAATCGGGCCATGTTGGGATTGCACTCGGACGTGTCGATCGTTAATTTGGAGAAACACTTTGATATGGTGAAAAATGAGAAATAAAAGTTTCTATGTTTTTTTACCACTTTTATTTTGTAACTAATGTTGTTACTGCAGTTTCCTCCTAAAAGGATATTTTCAAACAATTACAATAAACTAAAAATAAATAATAATGTTATATAGCCCTTAGATATGATTTATTTATGTTATATATGTTAATGTTATATAAATAAATCATAATATTAGCCCTTAGATATGATTTATTCATGTTATATATGTTTATGCTATATAAATCATAATTTTAGCCCTTAGATATGATTTATTCACGTTATATATGTTTATGCTATATATACATTATAATTTTAGCCCTCAGATATGATTCATTTATGATATATATTAAAATCGGATTTTTGAATTGAATCTCTCGATTTTGACTATGATGCAATTTGGCTAAAGACCCCGAATATGTAAAATTTTGACTTAAATTTTGTAATTTTTACTTTGAAATATATTTCAACTATAGTCTTCGACTTCAATCTCGAAATATCGACACTGTTCTCAAAGTTTTGATTTAAAACACGAAATTTCGAATTTTAAACTGGCAATCTAATAATTTTGAATTCAATTCTAATATTTATACTTTTATCATGAACTGTTGATTTCAAACTCGATTTCGACTCGAAATTTTGATTTTTTTAATATCGTAATTTTGACTCTGAATTCAAAATTTCGACTACAGTCAAATACAAATTGATTTCAAATACAGAATTTCAAATTTTAATCTCGAAATTCCAATTGTACACACGAAATCTCTGATCCTGTAATTTTGATTTGAATTCCGAAATTAATACTTCAATCTTGAAATTTTAATCTTTTATTTTGATTTTAAACGCGAAATTTCACCTTAAATCTGTCAATTTTGTCTAAATTTGTTTCAGATTCGTTTTCAATTTGAAATTTCGATTTTAATCTGTAATTTTCGATTGCAACCTCTAAATAACGACTTTAATCTGAAAATTTCGACATTATACTAAAAATTTCGAATTTGATCTAGGAATTATGACATAATTGCTTGATTCCGAATTCAATCTCTAAATTTGGATTTGAACCTTTAGGTTTTGACTTCAACTCGAAATTTCGACTTCAATTAAAAATTTCGGATTCAATCTAGGGATTTTGACTGCTACAATCTCGATATTTAGATTTCAAACTCGATTTCGAGTCGAAGTTTGCACTTGAATTTCGTAATTTTGACTTGAAGAATAAAATTTCCATAACATCTTCTGAATTTTAAATGCAAACTCGAAATTTTGAATGCAGTAGGTATACTGGAAATTTGGAATTTAATCTCGTAATTTTGACGTTCAACTGGAAATTTGGACTTCAATCTCTAAATTTTGATTTCAACCTCGAAATTTCGAATTTGAACTCTAAATTTCAACTTCATATCCGTTATTTCGAGTTGAATCGGGTGATTTTGACTTCATGAACGAAATTTCGACGAAATTTCAATATTATTCTCGTAACTTCGACTTGAAACATAAAATTTTGATTTCAATTTCAAAATTTCGGCTTCAAACACAAAATTTTCACTTTATACCCGTGATTTTAAGTTTAATTTGGTAATTTTGACTTCAGAAACGAAATTTCCACTTTGGTCTCGAAATTTCAACTCTCAAGTAGAAATTTTGACATTAATCTCGTAATTTCGACTTCACACTGCAAATTTAGATATTATTCTTAGAATTTTGATGTTGAACACGAAATTTTTGAAATCAATTTCGACGTTATACACGAAATTTCGATATTAATCTTATAACTTTGACTTGAAACATACAATTTTGACATCATTCTCTAAATTTCAATTACACTCGAAATTTTAAATTCATACTCGAAATTTCGACTTCGACTTTTGACTTCAAAAACAAAATTAAGTCTTTATATTTCAACTTTTAACTTGAAATTTTCACATTAACCTCGTAACTTCGACTTTAAACCCAAAACATCGTCATTATTCTCGTACTTTTGATTGCAAACACGAAATTTTCGACTTCAATTTCGACGTTATACACGACATTTCGATCAATCTCGTAATTTTGAAAGAACTAACTTGATATACTTTTTGCTAATGAAATGTATTAATATATTATGTCCTAGATAAGCGCTCTAACGATATTTCAGAGATTTCAGCAGTTTGTTTGCATTGAATATAAATATATGGTACACTGATGAGTACTGATGATGGAGCACAAGGGAGTAATTGCCCTTGAGGTTTTTTGGTACGCGTCAAAGTCGATTTAGGCCATGTTGGGATTGTATTCGAACGTGTCGATAGTTAATTTGAAGAAATACACTCAAATGGAATCGATGAGAGAAGACTATAAGTTGTTTATTATACGGTATTCGATGGTCATTTATCACAGAGATATGTATCTCGATGAATCTGTACTAAATCACGAAAAGGAAAATATTAAATGACGTTTCCGAGAGTATCACCATTTATTTCATTATTTCGTGTTTGAATAGCGGTTTTTTGAGAGTTTTATTGTTGATCATTTTTCATCGTTATTCTTTCTAAATGCTATAAATTATATTCCACTCCTTGAAATTTTGAATTTCACTGACTAGTCAGAAAATGCAAAAACAATATTCAAAAACTATCTGAAGAACAGGAAACAAAAAGTGTCATGAATTTTTGAATCATCAATCAGGAGAGCATCAGCATTTTTCCATATAAAATCAAACAATCATAACTGGAAACAACAAACACAATCAAAGACCTAAGAATCACTATTGACCCAAAAATGTCATTCAAACCCCATATTGAAAATGTTACTTCTAGAGCATTGAAAATGTTAGATTTCACTCTTAGATCTGCAGAGGAATTATCTTTCTCTTCCTCAAAAATAACATATTGTTCAATTGTTAGATCAGTAATTGAATACTGCACAACTTGCACAAGTTTTTAGAGTACCCTGCATGTGAATTGGTATACCATATTGGAGAATATGACTATGAAATTATATTGGACATTCATAACTTGAATACTCTGGCTCATAGAAGATCAGAATCAGATCTTAAGCTAATTCACAAAATAATCAATCAAATCAAAATCAATTAATTCCCCGGAACTTGTTGAACTTATAACTTTAAATATGAATCCAAATAGAACAAGAAACACAGAAATTTTCAAAGTACCCTTTCATCATACCAACTATGGTTAGAATGAGTCTGTGGGTAGAATTTTAGACTAGCAAACACTTACAATGGGGATTCAAAACTTTTTAATTCTTCTTTGTAATCACTCAAAAAGACTCTGAAAAGATTGTGAACGATTGGATTTTCCTTACATCTAGCTGATAGATAATTCTTACAGTAAAAAGAACCTTTGAAAATTCACATAAGTTGGATATGTTGGTAAAATATTACACGGAAAAGTAGGTACTTGGAAGAACTATCACAAATCACCTTTCTGAAATCACTATCGCCACCACGTTGCTGGCATCTATATCTAAATTCCCAATAGTTCAATTCCCAGTTCAAACCTATATCGTTTTTATTGTACAGGAGTCTCTATTTCCATAATTGTTTCAAATATTTACACAAAAATAAAGTTAGTTCACGAAACACACAAAATGACAGCTGACAGGCATATACGAGATTCTTATAGATTCTTGACAGTTCAAAGAAATCATGTATTCATCACTTATCTACATAACCTAAAATAATACGAATCGTCGCAACGACCTTAACGACATCTAACGTTGTTTCGGAAAAGCATCAATTTCAAATGAAATCAAGTAAGTCATATTGGTTGAGGGATTTGCATGATAATTCTACATCAGTGTAGAGACATCTCAGCAATTACATTCGATGAGACACGGAACTGAGAGTTTATCCGTGATCAAAATTTCTGAGACGGATTGACAGGTAACCACACATCTATATCAACACAATAAGCGGCAAAAACATCATGATGAACAGACTAGTGAAAGTTCCTGTGTCGGATGTGAATTTCAGTAAAGAACTGAATCTATAAAAGAGAATTTATTCTTCACTATCCATAGAATAGAAAAATTAAATTCAACGTATGTTATTCAACTTCCCACAGCGAAATTCAATTCTCATTTGTTACAGACGTTATGGAAAGTATGGAAATCAATAAGTACAAATATCTAAGGAATGCTCATGTCTGAAAATAGCTATGGTTATTCCATTACATAAGGGTGGAGATCTGGAAGACCCCTCAAATTTCAGGCCCATTTCTTTATTATGGACCCTTTCAAAAATTATTGAAAGATTGGTGAAAAAAAGACTAATGTCCTTCTTATCGATAAATAATGTGCTATCTAGCCTTCAGCTCGGCTTTCAAAGTTCTAAAAATACCACAGATGCCTTTCTAGAGAATGCATACTCTAACATAAATGATGGCAAGGCCGCTACAGCAGTGTTTTGTGATTTCTCGAAAGCTTTCGATTGCGTTGATAATAAGACACTGCTGCGGAAGCTCAGCCATTATGGGATAAGAGGAACAAATTTGACCTGAATTGGTTCATATTTGACAGGACGTCGACAGGTGGTGAAAACATCAAGTGGACAGTCTGATCTCAGTGACATAAAACATGGAGTACCTCAGGGGTCAGTTTTAGGACCACTGTTGTTGTTAATATACTAAAATGACCTAATAACCATTAACATTGCAGGACAATTTACTGTATTTGCCGACAATACCATATGGAGTAATAAAGA